TTCCGCATCAGCGCCCGCGATGCCGTCCTCGTGCACTCGCGGGGCCTTCGTTGGCGGGCTGTCGTCTGCCGTCTTCCGCCCTGGCGAAGGAGTAGAAGCACCTCGACGGAACCCGCCAGAGGGAGTGTCCAGCAAGTACCTCACCGAGCACTGCCTCCCTGCATTGTCGTGCCCTCCTGGGTGCCCCAGCTCGTTGTACCTGCGTCTCGGCCACCAACTCATAAGCTGGCGGCGGTATGCATGGAATGCGGACAGCACCATCGCGTGAGAGCAGGAGCTTGTTTCTTTATTGTTTGGGGCATGACGGGCGTCATGGCCCCTGCCCCCCCCCCACCCCCCTATGACGTAACGCTCCCCTCCCCAGTGCGCTCCGGGTACTGTCGCCGTGCGCATCGGGATCCGCATAGGAGTCTGGTCCGCAGTCGCCGTCGTCGCCGTAGTCGCCGCCGTCGTCGTCGTCGTCGTCGTTGTCGTCGCTCGTCGCTCATCGTCGTCGTGCGCGCGGACGCGGCTGGATTTTTTTGTTGTTGTTGTAATCGCTTCGCTCATTCCGCCGGCCCTTATTGTCGCACGTCTGTCGATTTGGGGTTAGGTTCCTGAGGGGGTCGCAGTGACTGTGGATTTGGTTTCGGGGGTTCGTTGCAGATTCTGGTGGGGTTGTCCTGGGGCAGTCGTGGGTGGTCGCGGGTCCGGTCGGTGATGTATTTGCTTGTGCCGGTGAAGGGTTGATAATTCTGGATGGTCGCCGTGGGGCCATGTCGCAGATCGGAGGTATTCATCGCAAGTTTGAGCCTTTCCGTTTCGGAGGGTGGCGGCTTGTGAATGCGACCGCAGGTAGAGGAGGAGGAAGAGGAGGATGAAGAGGACGAGGAGGAGAGTGAGGAGGAGGAGGGGGAGGAGGAGGAGGAGGAGGAGGAGGAGGGAGGATGACGAGGAAGAGGAAGAGGAGGGGGAAGGAGAAGGAGGAGGAGGAAGAGGAGGATGAGGAGCAGGAGGGGATGAAGCCTCTTGGGCCGTCTTGGCGGTCCACTGGGCCGTCTTTAGGCCATATTGGGCGGCCTGGGGGGCTGGTGGGGGCTCTTCGGCCCCTCTTGGAGCCGTTTCGGGGCGTTCTTGGGCCCGTGTGGCCGCCTCTTGGGCCATCTCGGGAGCCGTCTTGGGCCATCGTGGGGCTTTGTTGGGGCGGTCCTGGAGGCTCATTGGGCTTCCTTGGGACGTGGGAAAGCCGACAAGGCGAAAAGGCTGAAAACCTCAATAAGCTTGTGCAAATCAATGGTTTCCGCTTCGATTCTGGGGCGCCTCTTGGAAGCCTCGAGAGGCGTGTTGGGGGCATCGAGGGCCATTGTGAGACCATTTTGGGCCGCTATGGGACGCTGTTGGCGTCTGGCCGTAGGGCAGTCAACTTATTTGTGGACTCATTGGGCCACTCCTGGACGGTTCCAGAGGCTCCCAGGCCCGCGCTCAAGAGATCCGGCATCTCTGACGGGGACGTGCCAGGAGTTGATTGGGGTACTTTTCGCTCTGTGACCCCCAGGGGCCGCCACGCGCGCGCGAATTAGAATGCTGTTATTTGTTAGCCCCTTTCTATTTTTGTTTCCGGGCGCTCCTTGCCCGCCCTTCGTCCGTTCACATGCTTCGAGGACCACGATGCGCTTTGACCCATCCTTCCTGGCATTCCGTTTCGGTGCACCCGACAGTTCCGAGTCTTACGTTGCTTCGTGACGTGATCCTCAAAGGTCTGCCCCCCCCTGTCCCTCTTGGGAGCCTCTTGGGGTCCTCTTGGGGGTCTTTTGGCCTCTTGGAGGCCTCGTGGGCGCCTGTTGGGGCCTCCTGGGGCTTCCTGGGCGCCTCTTGGGGCCCTCTTGAAGCGCTCTTGGGAGCCTTGGGAGCGCTCTTGGAGCCCTTTTGGGCCATCTTGGAGCCACCATCTTGAAGCCTCGGATGGCCATCAGAACCGAAAAGGCGGGAAAGTCAAAAACATTGATTTTCTATAGGTTTTGGAAGGATTGTGGCCTCTTCGGGGCCTCCTGGGGGAGCTGTTTGGCCACTTGGAGCCGTCTTGGAGTGGTCTTGGGGCCTCTTGGAGCATCGTGGGAGCCATCTTGGGATATCTTGAGCCATCTTGGAGGTCATATTGGGCTCCCCCAGGCGCTCTTGGAGCCATCTTAAGCAGTGCCCCCCCCAGGAGGCTAAAATGTGACCAACACCTTGGTAAAATCAATGATTTTGGCATTCTCGCCGAGGCCTCTTGCAGCGTCTTAGGTGCCTCTGGGGGGCCTCTGGGGGCCTCGTGGGGGTCTCTTGGGAGCCTCTTGGGGGCATCCTGGGGGCCTCTTGGGGGCCTCTTGGAGCCTCCTGGCCACCTCTTGGGCCCCTCTTGGGGCACCCTTGGGAGCCTCGGGAGCGCTCTCGGGGCCATCTCGGAGGAGATCGATCGATCACAGAAGGGGGGTCCCTCAATTAGCGCGGCCCCCCCAAGAGGCCAACATGGGGCCAAACCCCGAGTAAAGCCACTGATTTTGGCTTCCTCGCCGAGCCCGTTGTGGACGCTCCGGCGACATGCGAAACGCCCCTTCCAGGTCCAGGGGAGGGGGTATGGGGGGGGGGTGAACCCCTCCCCGAAGGGAGGAAACACCCTAAACCACCTACGCCCTAAAGGGCTGGTGGGATTCGTGTTCCTCCGACGGGGCTCCTCTTAGGGCTGTCTTGGGTTGTCGACCTCGAAACGTCGTTTATGCGCAAACTGTACGTTTTCTGGGGGGAATGGGGCACTTTTGGCTTGTTGAGGCTCTCTAGGAGAGCATATTGAGGCTCTCTTGGGGCTTCTTGGCGGCGTCCTGGGCCGTCTGGAGGCAATTTTGTGCGTCTTGGGACGATCGTGCGGGTCGACAAGCTGGAAAGTTCAATTCGAGCTCCCCCGATGGGGCCTCTCGTAGTGCTGTCTAGGGTTGTCCAGGGGCCCTCGTGGGCCGTCTTGGGGCCCTCTTGGGCCGTGTTGGGCCCATGTTGGGAGTGTGTTGGGCCGTCTTGGGGCGATCTTGAAGGTCTCTTGGGCAGTGTTGGACGCGCTGGACTTCGAAACGTCGCTTATGCGCAGAACGTACGATTTCTGAAGGGAATGGGGCACTTTTTGCTTGTTGAGGCTCTCTAGGAGAGCCTGTTGAGGCTCTCTTTGGGCTTCTTGGCGGCGGCTTTGGCCGTCTGGCGGCGACCGAGGGCCCCTCGGACCGTCTGGAGCACGTCACGGGGCTCTCTTGGAGCGTTCCTGGGGCGTTCGGGGAAGCTTGGAAGGCAGCGCCGAGGAGGAAAACCATCTCTGGGTCTCACCTTGCCAGGACCTGTCTGGGTACTTCTCGTTCGAGGGCCCCCAGGGGCCGCCTCACGCGGGCGAATTAGAAAGTTATAAACCAGTTACCGGAGTTCTTAGTACGCCTCTGGCCAGTTGGGCTGGCGAATTCGGGGGGAGGGGGCCGATGACGTCACGTTTCGCGCCGGTGGCGTCTGGGAATGTTTGGAAATGACCGAGGACGGGTAGCAGCAGCATGTAGGTGGCGATCTGCACACCAGCGCTCGTGTACACCACAGTGCTTGCGTGCAGCAGAACGCCTGTGTACACCACACCGCCTATGCACACCACAGCAGCCGCGTGCAACACAGCGCCAGCGTGTGCCACAGTGCCTGCGGGCACCACATCGCTTGTGTACACCACAGCGCCTGCGTACACCTCGTCAGCCGTGTGCAACACAGCGCCAGTGTACACCACAATGCCTGCGTGCATTGCAGCGACTGTGCACACCAGCGCGTTGCACTACACCCAAGCAATCGTGCGCAACAGAGCACCAGTGTTGCATATAGGATTTGGGAAGGATTCCTTATGACAAAATGGAGCGCCTGTGGAGTCCACACCATTATTTTTTTGACCGTATTTGGAAAGGAACCCTTTTTTGAAGAATTAGCGCCGCTGGAATCTACGAGTCGTATAGAGTCCGCCCGCATCATCTTAACTCCTCCCATCTGCGCCCAGGAAGCTCCAGCAAAATTGGCCGTGGCCGTACGAGAACCAAATGGTCTGATTAATAGACCATTCAGCGGTGCACGGTGAGATGCGCACGTGCGCTGTGGTGCCGACCTGCACGACAGGGGGGAAGGGTGAGAGAGGACGAGGAGGAGGAGCAGGAAGAGGAGAAAGAGGAGGAGGAGGAGGCGGTGAGGAGGAGAGAGGAGGGAATAGGGAAAAACGTTGCATTATATTAACCACAGTTCCCTGGCGTGGCGCTGAGCTGTTCGCAGCAGATCCTCACATACATGCTGCTTCTACTTGTCTTGTGCACGCAGGCGCTGTGGTGTACAGCGCTGCGTTGCACGCGGATGCTGTGGTGTAGACAGGCGCTGTGGTGTACACCGGCGCTGTGGTGCACGCAAGCACTGTTGCGTACGCAGGCGTTGCGTTGCCCACGGCTGTTGCGGTGTACGCAGGCGCTGTGGTGTGCACGCGCGATGTGGTGCACGCGAGCATTGTGGTGCATACATGCGCTGTGGGGCAGATCGCCACCTACATGCTGCGCGCGTCGTCGTCGTCGTCGCTCGTCGCTCGTCGCTCATCGTCGTCGTGCGCTCAGGCGCGCTTGTGGTGCCGGAGCCACACGGCGGGGGGGGGGCGTTGCGTCATACCCCCCCGCCCCCCCACCCCATGACGCCCATCATCGCCGAAAATAAAGAAACGCGCTCCACCTGCGCAAGCAGCAAGCCTGACACACACTTACCTCGCCGCCCATCTGAACCAATGCTGTCTTCAGCGTCGAGCACGGGGGTGGCAACTCGCCCATGGCAATTTTGGGTTGCATGGATGGAACGCCTGCGTGACAACAACCTGCGGCCTTCGATTGGGGACCGCGGCGCACCTGCCCGAAAACCATTGCGCGTGGTGCCGACTTGAGCCAACGTCGTTTCACATACACGAGCCACGTCCCACGATCCTGAGATGTTGGATGCTGCGCAAGCCGACGCCAGTGCAACTGATGGAATGCCACCACGTATGAGGTCGAAAGCTCACCACGCTTGCGTCGCCCCCGCGACCCTGAGACGGATAGAGACCGCGGTGAGGGACTACCCCATTCGCACCCCATATGGCTTGGAGTAAGTGCCACGCTTGCCACGCCCCGCAACCCTGAAACGGATGGAGACCACAGTGAGGGACCACCCCCTGCGCACCCCGTGTGGCGTGGAGTAAGTGCCACACCTGCCACGCCCCAGGACCCTGGCACGAATAGAGACCCCGGTGAGGGACCGCCCCCTGCGCAGCCCGTGTAGCGTGGAGGAAATGCCACGTTTGCTACGCCCCGCGACCTTGAGACGGATGGAGACCGCGGTGAGGGACCACCCCTTGCGCACCCCTTGCGCGCCCCATGTAGTGCGGTGGAAGTTCCACGCGTGTCACGCCCGGCGACCCTGAGACGGAGACGGACCGCGGTGACAGACCACCCCCTGCACACCCCCTCCAGTGTGGAGGAAGTGCCACGCGCGCTACGCCCCGCAACCATGCGACGGATGGAGACCGCGGTGAAGGGCCGCCCCCTGCGCATCCCGTGTAGCGTGGAGGAAATGCCAAGCTTGCTACGCCCCGCCGCAATCCGTAGCCATTTTGGCTCAAGGCTGGCTTTCAGCATTTTCACCTCATCCGCACACTCCGCGCACTCATTTCTACGACAGTTGTTTGCTCCATTTGCAGATGGCGCATGTCATTTTGTTCGCCAGCCTGTTCGTGGCCAGCGGCGTCCAGCCTGGCCTTTGCAGCTGACGTCGAGCTAATGCAGATGTCGACAACGGGCACGAATGCTTCGAGGCAGTCTTTATCGGCGTCCTCGGCAGTCGTGTCCCACACTGCTGCTGGTCTGAAGTCGTGGTTGTGCACGCTGAGCAGCGGTGCTACGGCTGACGAAGTGAAAGCAGTGTGCAATGAGTTCCAGGGCCCGTTCTGCGCAGGCACTGAAGAATGTCCGCCAGGAACAAAGTGTCCAGAGAAATTTGTACATGGCTTCTTGACAGAAGCAGATAAGGACGCGACCATTGCCAAGTACCCCTCGCTCGTGGTCACATGCGAAGAGGACCCGTTCGTCAAAGAGGCCTGGGAGCACACCGTTCCAGACGCAGCCACTCGGCGGACTGGCGCGACCTTGTTAATGAAGCTGAAGGCAGGCTCCAGCACTTTCCAGTACGACTCCAGTTATTGGACAAATGGCAGTTCGGTGTTGAACGCGGCAAGCGGTGCTTCCAGCAGCGACTGACGACGAGGACGTCAAGATGTCGGCGTTCAACACAGTTTCGATCTCTGCCCTCACGTTGTGTTACAAGACGTTGGACAATTGCTACACGTACGAACTGGGCGCGACGTACACCAGCGCGCAATCGCTTTTCAGTTCGGGTTTCATCCGCAGCCTCAACATGGGTTATGGCTCTGGAACCGCTGCCGAAGGAAAGAAGGCCTGGACCGATCTGTTTCTGCCGCCGGGAACGGCAACCTGGTACGACGACTTTGGAATGGGAACGGAGGTGGCAATTGCGATATGCAGCGGCCAGGAATCAACACCCAGTGCAGTGAGAACAATTGGGCCCGCATCGGGTACTGCGTGAACCTTCCTGACCAGAGTTGCCAGTCCTCTGACGGCAGCGATGCCGACTCTCCTGTCGGGATCGGGCTGAAGACGCAGAACTGGCCCAACAATGTCAACGCCCCTTTCGGCGAGTACTTCATACATGGCGCCGGGTCGTCTGGGGTGTAGAGCTTCCAGCACCAAGCGTGGCTCTTTGCAGGATCGGGCCCCACTCCCGGCGGGGCTGCTGCCACCGGTGATCCCCACCTTCAAAACATTCATGGTGACCGGTTCGACGTGATGAAGGTGGGCAGCCACGTTTTGATCAACATTCCTCGTGGAATGAGCGCTGAAAACGCATTGCTTCGCGTCCAGGCCGATGCGCGCCGGCTGCGAGGACATTGCGCGGATATGTATTTCCAGGAGTTTAATATTACGGGGTCGTGGGCAGATGCGAAACAAGCTGGTGGGTATCACTACAGCGTGTCGCAGTATGAGGTCAAGACTCCCGAATGGGTTGCTCTGGGTCAAGTTGAGCTGAAAGTCGTGCATGGGCATACGGATGGTCAATGGTGGCCTCCGCTACTTGAATTTGTACGTGAAGCATTTAGGGCGAGCAGGGTTTGCTGTCGGAGGTCTTCTGGGAGACGATGATCACGGGGACGTGATCGTTCCTCCAGAGGCGTGTGCCAAGCACCTGTCCCTGCCCGCGGTGAAGACACACAAAACCGGTGTGGTCTCAGTCGCAGAGGCAAGCCTGGCGTGATCGTGCGCTATGATGCGGTCGCTCATCCTGCGCTATGATGCGGCCGCTCATCAGGCGAGCGACGCAGGACAATGGGGGCCACCAGGTCTTCCCTTCGCCCCTCAGCCGCGGTCTGGCCTTCCCGGCGCGCCCACTGGTGAGTTGCTAGCCTATGTATCTGCCAGTCCACAGGTGGTTGCGTAGGCTCTTCGGCCTGTTTCTGGCATCCCGGCTTGATTCTCCCCGACTCGGCAGGTGCTCCTCGCCGCTGCCACTTCGGTGCCTGTCCAATGACAAGCAGATGAATTCAAGAGAAAAGGCTTGCTACGCCCCGCAACATGGGGACCGCGGTGAGGGACCACCCTTGCGCACCCCCTGTGATTTGGAATTTGGGAGTGCCACGCCTGCCACGCCCCACGACCCTGGCACGGATGGAGACCGCGGTGAAGGGCCGCCCCTTGCGCATCCCGTGTAGCGTGGAGGAAATTCCACGCTTGCTACGCCCCGCGACCCTGAGACGGATGAAGACCGCGGTGAGGGACCAGCCCTTGCGCACCCCTTGTGGCGTGAAGACATGTCACGCTGTGTGCATGCGTGCTGTATGCGTGCTGTATGTGTGCTGTGTGTGTGTGTTTGTGTGTGTGTGTGTGATCCGCGTCTTTGTGTCTTGTGTTTGTGTATCATGCGCGTACGGTTGTATACGTGTGTTTCTTGCGGGCGTCGTGCTGCGTCAGGCAGCGTGTTCGTCTGTGTATGGTGCGCGCGCGAGTGAAGGCGAAACATGAAGGAGAGGGGGAGGTGTGTGTGTGTGGGAGAGCGCAAATCCTATGAGGGAGGGAGGGCTTACCAAGTAGGTGAGGTGTGGGCGTCGCGGGTGGGACGCGGTTGAGAAGAACACCCAAACCCCACGAAGCATGTGGGACAACACAGTCGGAGCTCGCGAGGATGTATGGCATCGGCGAAAAGCCCCTAAGTCGGCGCCTCCGACGCCGCCCCAATGTCCAGCGACGATCCCAGAAGTCTGTGGGGATATCCGAAAGTGTGTTTAGACATTTGTTTTTGTTTTTCTAATCCTGTGGCGGGTTGGGACAGTTCTTGCTGGCCGTCACGGGCCGACATTGCGCTGTCTTGTGGCCGTCCTTGTGAGCTTTGGGCCACCTGGGGGCCGCCTTGCAATAGCATTGGGGATTCCTCCCCGCTAGGGCGCCGTCTGGGGCGGGCCAACTGCCGTATACGGCCAGGAAGACAATGGAATCACACACCATGATATTTCCGATGCTTCGACAGCCTCGCCGCCATGCAGTATGTCAAGCAGGCCATGTTCGCATTGCGGCATATGCGTGTTTGTGCGTAAGTCTTATTCTTCGGCATGGGACAGTGCATTACCGTGTTGACAGAATTCGATTGCGTAGTGTGAGCGACCAGTTCGAGTGTTCCGACATGGCGCCTTGAGCATCCTATTGAGCTGATAAGGTCTGGAGCGACGAGAAGTCCGAGAACGGCATCGCGTATATCGACTCGCAGGATTGTGCCAGGATGATAGCTGCGGCGGTCAGTAAGGACCGCACTGGCCGCCCTGGAAAGGAATGCAGAGTTTGACGGTGTCCCTGTGCCAGCGCTCAACAAGCAGGAGGAGGAGGAGGAGGAGGAGGAGGAGGAGGAGGAGGAGGAGGAGGAGGAGGAGGAGCAGCAGGCACGGGGTGGCAGTATGCAGAGAGCAGGAGGCAGGAGAAGGAGGAGGAGGAGGAGGAGAAGAGGAGGACGAGGCAGAGAGAGGCAGCGCGACGAGGGAGAAGGGAGAGGAGGAGGGAGAGGAGGAGGAGAGGAGGAGGAGAGGAGGACGGGGAGGAGGACGGAGAGGAGGAGGGAGAGGAGGAGGAGGTGGAGAGGAGGAGGACAACGAGGAGGAGAGAGAGAGAGAGGAGAGGAGGACGGCAGAGAGAGAGGAGGGGGGGAGGAGGAGGCAGAGAGAGGCGGAGGTGGAAGGATGAGGCAGCGCGAGGTCTTCACACAGCAGCAGGTGTATGCTCACGGCCGCGGCGGGGCGACCCGCCCTGCGTCGGTTGGCGGAGCGCCTCGCCATCGCTGGGACTTCCATTCCCCGTGCGTTTTTCGGTTGCGTGCGGTTTTCTTTTCGTAGGGCGAACGCATGCTCCTCGATAGTCCCTGCCGAGAGAGAACATCAAATCAACCAAAAAAAAATGAGGCAAGAGGAGAAGGAGGAGGAGAAGGCAGGAGGGTGCAGGGGGAGAGAGCAAGAGGATATCCCCAGGCAAGCTAAACACACTATCGTGCGAGGTCTTCCCGTTGGAGTATGTTTCAACATCTTCGTGGCCCCTGGTAGTCTAGACCCCCCCCCCGGAGACCTGCGTTTTACCCTGGGTTGTCTTCGGCCACGGGGCCCGGCGAGGGTCTCCGGAGGCAGCACACGGCTGAACATGTGTGTTTCCGTTGTTTCGAACGCGCTGTGTCTCTGGTGCCTGCGGCACCGCCTGCACCCCTGGGCTTCGCCCGCTCCGGCCGCCTGAGGCCCCGCCTTCTTGTGCCCCGTCTCCCTAATGAAAGCTGTGCGTAGCCCGCCTAGCTTTTAGCGGAAGAGGTTCGCTCTCGCCCCGCAGATCAAAAAAGTGTCTCTGGCGCCTGCGCACGCACGGTGCGCGGCAGAGTGCACGCGCACGGCTGTGGCCCCGGGTGAAGGCTGCCAGGGAGGCCGCGGGTCGCAGGCTCGCGCGTCGCGCCCGATCGATCGAGGATCGATCGATCCACCGGTCGAGGATCGATCTAGGAGCGATCGATCGATCGAGGTGCTGTATCGTTCGATCGAGGATCGATCGAGGATCGGTCTGGGATCTGCTCCTGCGTCCCGCGCGCGGTGGGGCGAGCGAGGAGCGGACGGTGGGCAAGACGATCACCGTCACGGGCCCCAAGGCGCGGTTTGTTGCGGGAGTCCGAAGCACAAAAGTGTGGATGTTGTTACCCTTCCCTCCCTTCCATCGTTTTTGCCTTTGTGGGTCTCCTGGAAGGCCCTCGCCGCCACGGCTGGATTCGCCTCAAAATCATGTTCAGAGCGCATCCCGGGAGGTGCCTGGGGAGTAGCGGCATCGGTATTGTTATACTTCCCGAGGAAAGGAACGATTTTGCCTGACGTCCTCCCGTCGTAGAAAAAGATCACGACAGACGGTGTCTTGCCCACGGGACCGTCAAGAAACGGTTCGGCATGAGAAGGGGCCCCAGGGAAGCGGTCAAGAACTCTGGAGAGTCAGTCACAAGTTCGGATGCCTGGGTTGTTGCGCGACGTGGGCGGGGTTTGCAGCCGCTACGCTGAACAGCATGCTGCACTGTACCCAGTCTGTGATGTGACCATTGCCATGCAGCGGCAGGAATCGCCAGTCGGGAGGGATCGGGGGAGGGAGAGGGCGAGGGAGGGGGGAGGGGTGAGGGGAGTAGGATGGAAGGAGGGATGAGTTGGAGGGGAGGGTGGGCTGGAGACAGGGGGGAATTGAGAGCATCGAGGGGATCCTCCCTGGATGCCATCGGAGCGATGAAGCTCCATTCCGCCATGTGCAGCGAGCCTGGGGAGAAACGACACAGCGCCTCGTCTGCCGGGGGGAGGGGTTGCGCTTGGGTCGACTACACGTAAGAGTGACCTTTCGCCGGAGTGACCTTTGGTGCGGGCCCAGTGGGGTCCCCCGATCGCCGAACGCGATGCGGTAGCAGCGTCTTGCGCGCTTGCGTTTGGCCCCCCTGGCGGCCCCCCCAAAGCCGCGCACCAAAGGTCACTCTTACCCAGGGTCACTCTTGCGTGCAGCCGATAGGGTCGACCTGAGGCGAGGCCGAGGAGGAGGAGGAGGAGGAGGAGGAGGGGGAGGGGGAGGGGGAGGAGGAGGAGGAGGAGGAGGAGGAGGAGGAGGAGGAGGAGGAGGAGGAGGAGGAGGAGGGTTGCGCGTGGGTCGACCCGAGGCGAGGCCTCGCGTTGTTCGGGATCAGCTCTCGGGAGAGAGCTGCGTCTCTCGGGGCCGCGTGCGGGCTCGCCGTCGGCAGACTGTGCCGCCCCCCGAAGACCCCGGCCCGCAACTTGCACGGGGTTCCGTCTTGCGCATGCGGTGGAACCTGTTGCAGCCATTACCGTGCTCCTCCTCCCCTCTCCTTCTCCACCTCCTTCTCTCCCTCATTCTCTACCCAGTTATGTGGGACACGACTCAGGGGGGTCTGAGCCTTAGTCGGGAAGGCGCTCAGGGAGAGGCATTGCACGGATCCGTAGCCGTCTGGGCTCAAGAAGTTGCCAGCGCGGCAGTGACAGTTTGGCTCAAGCATGGTGGTTTCAGACCTGCCGCAAAGAGCGAATCAAAGGGAAACGTTGGTGGATGTGGACGCCCATGGTGTCGTCGTCCTGGCCTAGGGGCTTACTCGATATGAGTACCCATCGGTCGTTGAAACTAGGTACTTTCGGGTTCCCATATTCCGGTCTAATTTGAGCGCCTTCCCACTCCAATGATCGAGTGACTTCACCTTTTCCGTCCACCTGACGGGGCTGACGTATATGTTCAACGCTCTTCTCCTTCATGTTCCTGCCTGTTTCTTCCAACCGATGGGTATTTTCGGCCCTAAGGGGGCGGAGGGAACCCAATCTATGTTCAACGCTCTCCTCCGTCATGTTGCTACCTATGCCTCTTCCAGCCGAGGGTTGCTCGCCTCTCTCCCTCGGAGATGGCACGGGGAGTCGCGCGCCCCGCTCCGCGCACGGGATATGTTGCTCGCAGCGGGTGTCGAGCCGTGCTCTTGCTCCCGCTTTTGCCCTTGTGGGGATCAGGAGGGAAAGAAACATACACAGACGCAATGAATCGTCGATTCCCCAGAAAATATATGGGGAATCCTGTGTATCTATGTGTGTGTCTCAGGCCCCTTCAAATCTGGTCGCTTTCGATGCTTCGACGTGGTGCTGCTGCTGCAGCGTGGGCCTCATTTTGGGATCGGCGCTCTGCTCATGTCGTTCAGGAAGACGCTCTCGCTCCGGCGCGGGCAACTTTGCTGGATCCGGGTCCTTTCCCCTCCTCCGCCTTCCTCTGGTCCTCTTGCCCTGTCCGCTGCTCCCGTCCCAGTTCCTACCTGTTGCCGCTGTTCGTTCTCGTCCTCCTCCTTCCTCATCCTCCTTGTCTCCTTTCTCATCCACCATCTCCTCCTCCTCCTCCGACTATGTAATGTTTGCAGCTCCCTTTCTCCGATTGCGTGTAACACGACATTTTTATTTTGGGAGCTCCAGGCCCGCTGCGACACGCGTTCGCGGGTAGAGTTTTCATCATCGTAATGGGAATGGATGGCGTTGAGTGGTCGGATGTCAGCTATGGCGCGAGCGCACCTAGCTTGTCCTCCTCCCCTCTTTTCTTCATCCTCTCCCCTCCCTCCTCCTGACGGCATGGTGTGGAAGCATGGGCGGGTCTCTCCCACGATCTTGGAGCGGGAGATCCAGACCAAGTTGGAGGGAATGGAGGCACAAGCGGTGCAGATGGAAGATTCACGATGCCGCCCAGTCACCCTCGTAAGGCTGGATTCTTCTTCGCATGGCTACCGACGCATGCTGCTGGTGCTGACCAGACGGTTTTCATAGTCCGACCAAATGAAGGCACCGCTGCATTTGTGCCGCCAGGCCGGCGTGCTCGTCCATCTCGGCCCCGCCTTGTCACATGTTGTTACCGCTCGTCGTGTGGTCCCAGGCACCCCTCAGTACCAGGCAATGACCAGTAGTGACTGGGTGTATCGGATGGCACAACAACATGTAACATGACCAGCGGAGCCAAACAGCTCTGCAGCATCTCGTTGTTTGTTTCTAATTTCTTTTTTTTTCTCGAAAGGTGTTGCGTTCGATGCGAACTTCCCTGGGCAGCGTTGCGGTCCTCTCTTCCTCTTCCTCTCGTCCGGCCCTCCCTCGCGCTGTCTCTTCTCTTGGTCCTCGAGCTGTTTGGGTGTAGATCGCGCCCTGAGATTTATCCGGGATTGCCTTAAGTCGGGCCTGTCCCTCTACAGGAGGAATATTCAAGAATAGTTAAACATAGTATGGGGAGGACGTTTGGACTATTTTTGGCCACTTGGAGGGTCTTTTTGAGTATTTTTAAATTTTCGCCCAAAGTCCCCCTGTAGGGCGACACACCCGACCTAAGGATTGCCCCCCACGGTCCCCTCATACGTCGGAGATCGATGGGGAGTGCCTTGGGGCCAATATGACTCTGTAGGGCATTGTCCTGTCGCTTCGAGGCCCAGCCTCAAAGGCACATTCCTGGCTTGACCAGAGCCGCCGCTCCAGAGTCATTTGGCAGTCAGTTCCCTGTTTTAGCCAAATGGTGACTTTGATACGAGGTGGAGCGCGCAGCGCGCTTCAGCTATCCTCAGAGACATCGGATGGAGCTAATGTTGACTGTCTGATTGTCTGTTTGTCTCATCCCTTCTATCTTGTCCGTGTGGCACAAGGGCGGAGGGAGGCAGGGCGGGAGGTGGGGGGCCGAGGATCGAGATATTCATGGCGTTTCTGGCCCCCGCCGGGCTTCTGAGAGGCTTCGCGCCCACCCCCCTCGGCTTGTCTGGAGGCCGCTGGAAGGCCTTTGGCGGAGAGGGGACGGAAGGGAGAGTGGTGTGTGTGTGTGTGTGTGTGTTACGTGGGGGAGGTGAGGAGAAGCGAAGGGTGACGAAGGAAGGGGGGGGAGAAGAAGGGGAGGGAGGGGGGAAGAGGGGAGGAGAAGGGGAGAGGGACGGATGGGGAGGGGGAAGGGAGGGGAAACGATAATGGGGGGGAGGGGATGGGGAAAGTTTGGTGCGCTCGCACCATATCTGACATCGTGCCCCTCCCACCCATCCGTTCCCTCTGCGGTGGTTTTGTACCTATCCGCAAGCAGGGGTCACATCGGGCATGGAACTCCAAACGGGACCCCATCGTGTGACGCGCAGCCGGAAGAGGGGATTTGTGCACGTAGGAGGAGGGGGAGGAGGAGGAGCAGGAGGTGGCGGATGAGCAGCAGGATGGGGAGGAGGAAACAGAGGATGATGAAAGAGGAGACTAGAACAACGAACAGCAGCAGCGGGATGGAGTGGATGGAGTGGGGGGAACAGGAAGACCAGGGAGAGTTGGAGGAGGGGAAAGGAGTGGTGCGACAACGATGGAGGGGGGACCTTGAGTCGCAGGCGATTCCCCCCCCCCCCCGGCCCGCCCCCAGTGCCCGAGTCCCCCCCAGAAGCTCTTGGCCTCTCAGAAGAGAAGGGAAGCGCCCGGGAAGCGCGTAGATACGCACCCGCTGGGGGCTGCTCAGACGCACCCCCATCGAGGATGGACGCCCACCCTCATGGTACATTCCCGGCGTCGGGCCCCAACGTTGATGTCAAGTCGAAAGTCAGGAGGAGAAAAAAAACACACAGACACAATTAATCGTCGGTTCCCAAGAAAATATAGGAAAATATGGGAAGTGGGGGGGAAGGCAGAAACCCAGAAAATATAAGAAAATATAGGGAATCCTGTTATTTGTGTGTATTTACTTGTGTGTGTCCCAGGGCCCCTTCAGAAAGTCCCACAAAGTCGGGGTTTGGGTTCGCCATACCCCGCTGTGAGAGGTCCCGAGGCCTCCGTGGGCCTCCCGTTGGCGTTCTTCGTGCACCGGGGCGCAGCCGAGGCCCAGACGGGCCTTCGTTCCTTTCGGAGGCCCCTTGTGGCAGAGCTCTTGGAGGCACAGCGAAGAGCCACGACCACAGCTAAATGGATTCTTCGGGAGGGCCCCTCGGGGGAGAACCAAGCGACCTCCACATGAGCATTTCGGTTGTGGTTGTGGTCGATTTTGCCGTCTCGGGACGCCACATCGACCACAAGCAGTGCTAAGCTGGCTTCGGCGTTCCTACGATTCTTGGCATGCGCGAGACCTCCCCCAGGGTGTGCCCTCGATGTGGCTGTTGTCGCATGCTCCGCCTCCTCTCCCCCTTCCTATTCCTCTGTCTTCCTCCTCCTCCTCCACCTCGATCCTCGTGCTCGTGTTTGCCATTCTTAATTTCTCGTTCCTCCTGGTACTGGCTGGACTGCACCCCTCTGCCCGTCGCCTGGCCGAGGTGTGGTCGTCCCAGTCCCTCATCGAGCTCTGCGAGAAGCTGTCGGGCAAGAAGGCCCGGGCCCCACGCAGCCCTGGAGGAGGAAGTCCGGGGCCCCCCCAACGGGGTGGTGACCACACCGTGCGGTGCGTCGGTGGGGATTCGGGGTCACCGCGCGGATTTGGGACTCGGGTCGTTGTCCGAGGACGTCTCGGGCGACAGGGGCCTCCGGGGTCCCAAGACCGTGCGGTGACGGACCGTGCGGTGAGGTCTTGGGAGATTTCGAGGTCACCGCACGGTCCGTCACCACACCGTTTCGGGACTCCAAAAAGGAAGGCAGCGCTGCCGATGCCCACTCTTCGTGTTCGCTGTCGTGGGGCCTCTTGGGGGGACTCGCGTCGACACGGCCGGGTCCGCCCTGGGGTCCTGGCCTCGAGGGCGATAAAACGATGCAAAGATACAGCCAAGACGCTGACATAACCTTCTGTACCTCCTCTGCCTCCTCCTCCTCCTCCTCCTCCTGACGCTGAAATGAGGACCGCTTTGGGTTCGGAAAGGGGCTCGGGGATTTGGGTCGTTTCTTAGATTTATGTCGCGGGATTTGCTGGTGGCGTTCTGGGGGTGCCCCCGGGCGGGGCCAGCATCGACCCAAGAAGTCAGCGCGGACCTTCGAAAGTGTACAGTTTCTGCAGTTTGTCTCTTCCCCTGGGGTCGGAACGCGCCCTGGACAGGCCCTGGGGGCGCACCTGGGACCCAGGTCGCCCCCAGGGGCGCGGAGGCCGCCGCGCTGCGCGGCATCGCTGCTTTGGGTCGGGGAGGTGCCCTCCTCCAAGGTGGCCCTGCCAGGGTGCGAAGAGGACCCAGAGGACTGGCGAGGATTTACCAGTTTGAAACATATCCTTATCCCTATGTTTGACATCACCTCACCTCGATGCCGATCTTAAGGATTCCCTCAGTTTCTGAGGGCCTATCCCTAAGATTGTCCTCGCTTTTTGCTCGCCCACCTTAGGGATAGGGATACGTTCGAGGCTGGTTAAGGATGAGCTTCTTGGAGCAAGGCGCCTCCGAAACCCTGGACCGTGGGCATCCTCTGCCTCTGCACGCTCGTCTGCCTCCTTGGCCAGGGGGGGCCCTGCCACCCTTGGCGTCCTCTAGGCGCCACATGATGCGCCCTGTTCCATCCTCAGAGCACCAGGGAGTTAACACCACTACCAACGCTGGGGGGCGAACAGGGGAAATATGATCCTAGATGCTGGTGTTTGGGTTATATTTCGGCCGCCTGAGAAGCCTAGAAGTTGCCACCATCACAGAGATCGGGATCATTGTCGCTCGGTGGAGGCAGTCGCTGATATTGGTGTTGGTGCCAACGTCTGCGCCTCCCAGAGCTGGGTCTGCTGGTGGTCGTCGTCGTCGCCGCCGTTGTCGTCATTGAGACTAGCCAGCTGCCTGCGGCAAGACCCGCCACCGTGCCTGCGCAACAGCGTCGAACGAAAACATCTAAATTCTTAACGCTTCGCGTATCGCCACCAACGTTGGCTTTTGGCCCGCTGGTAACTATCTTGCGTGCTGTTCCATGCTCGGTTCGGCCCGCTCTCTGCACATGTGCACTCCGGCGGCGGCTTTGGCCCGCTGGCAATTATCTTGCGTGCTGCCCCATGCTCGATACGACCCGCTCTCTGGAATCGTCCTTGGAGCCGCATATCAAAAAAATATATCGCCACCAACCGTTGTTGTTCGCCTCGCCCTCCGCTTGTTTTCCTTCGCCCCTCCTGCCGCGGAATTTAGGCCGTTGCTAGTCCGCCGCGTTTCTTGACGGCGCCCGGCATCCCGGTGTGCATGCGAACAACAATCCCCACCAACCGTTGTTTCCTGAGCGGCAGCGAGGCTCGCCTTCTGCTTCTCTCTTCCCCTGCTTGTTCTTGTCCTCTCTGGCCCTTCTTCTTCCTCTGCGCTAATTTAGGCCGTTGCTTGTTCGCAGTGCCTTGGCGCCGCCCGACCTGTTCTTCGCCGCGGTCGCGATCAGAAAGTATCCCCACCAACCCATCGAACAACAAAACGACGCCCAGGGGAGCCTCCCCTCTGGGGGGAACGTGGCATCATTTGGAGAGCGTCGGGAGCCTCTGTGGGCCAGAGGCTTCTCGAATGCCTCCTGCAGTATCTTGGGATGTCCCTCGTGGTCTCATGGAGGCCTTTTGGGGCGTCTTGGGGCGTCTTTGGTGCCTCTGGGGGGCCTCTTGCCTCTTGGAGGCCTCTTGGAGGCCTGTTGGGGCATGTCCCACCCCGCCCAAACATTACCGTTACCTGGGGCCCCAAATCCCCCGCCCCCATCGTTGGTAACGACTTCTACCGGGAGTAAGCACAACAAATCCTACCCAACCCCTTCGAAGTGCAAAGATCGAGGTTCGGGGCGTTTGGGCGCTTCTCGCATTTTCATGTGGGCCCAGGGGGTGCGTCCTCGTTGCTACGGCTAGCTCGAGGGTCGAGGTTCGGATTATTCTGGGCGCTTTCTGTGGCTTTTGGGGCTCAGGGGTGGCGTCCTGGTTGCCTTGGCTGCTTCGGAAATCGGCGCTTGAGGCTTCTAGGCGCTTTCGCAGTTCTGTTGGGCCTCCAGGTGGCGTCCTCGTCGCCGCGGCTTGTTCGAGGATGGGCTATGTGGCCTCGGTACGCCCGTTTAGAGACGCAACGCGTCCCGTGTTCAAGACGTCCGAATCAATATGCTGCGTGTTGGCTCCACGTATTGGGCCACGTTTTGGTGAATGTATCGCGTCGGACCTACGTTTTCAGCCTACGTGTTGAGCTCCGTATCAATACGATACGTGTTGCGTGATGCGTATCGGGGCAGCTAAAAGGATGAGGGTTCGAGGCTCTTGGGCGTTTCTGAATTTGTGTGGGGGGGGTTTCCGGCGGCGCCACCATCGCGGCGGGGGCCGCCTCGAGTTGTGGGCCAAAGCGCGCCCCAGGCGAGGCCCAGGAGTTGAGTTAGGACCCCCGGGTTTGGACCCCTCGCGTCGGAGGTTGATAGACCTCATACCCTGACACGTCGATTAGTGAATTGGCCGCTTCCGGTTCGCGGGAGGGCGTCGCTGCCGTCATTTGTGCGGGTTTCGGTTTCGGTTTCGGTTTCGGTCCCCGCCCGTTTTCACCAAAGGGAGGTTCTCTAAAGGGAGGTTTGTCCACCGCCGATCGCGTCGTGAAGAGGTCCTTGCGTTTTTGTCTGTGCTGGTTGCTCTGTGGTGGACTCTGTCCCCTTTGGTGGCCGTTCTCGGGCCCGGGCCCGCCAGCAACAGTTGCTTGGGAGGAGACGCCTGTCCTGGGCACGGTCGGACCGAAGCATCGGATCGAGGTCCGTTCGGGGAGGCTGCGCCGATGTTCTCCCTGTTTGTTTGATGCTCTTGTGCATCCTTGGGGAGGGTGCCCTCGAACGTTCGTCAGTTTGGCTGGCGGATGGTCTCATGTTCTTGAAGCATGTTCTTGTGTCCTGGGTCCGGCCGTAGCTGAGGGCTTGATGCCTCCCGTGTGTCCGGCTTGAGGTCTCCGATGCACCAGCGCCTCCGGCGCCAGGAGGCTCTGAGGGAAGCTCATATACACGAGCTCATTCGCCCCCCCCCCCTTTTTTTTACTGTCCAACCCGCCAGGATGCAGGTGCGAGGGCCAAATCCACTCCTCGTCGTCGTCGTCCTCGTCGTCGTCGTCGTCGTCGGCAGGAAGACAACTGGGCGCAGGCACTTTTTTTTACAAGCGCGAAGAAGCCCTGCGGCCAACTGGGCGCAGGCACATTTTGACCAGGAGCCTTCAGTGCTTTAACTTCCGAGGCCAAGGCCGCAGAGCTCCGACGTCGCGATTCCTCTCTCGCATACGCGGGCGCCCAGACGTCAGGGGCAACATCTGCTGGGGATAGACCGAGGGGAGGACGCATCGACCCGCAATCGGCCGTTCGCCGATCGTGGCCCTATAGCCCACCCCGCCCGGGAACGTGTGGTTTCGGTACTGGGGGCCCATCGGCGGTGTGTCGCCTATTCAGGCTCGATGTGTCCGCCCCCTGAGCCGGTCCACCCCCTATCGCTGACCCTCAGGAGTTCTTGACCCTTCCACAGGGTCCAGTGTTACCACCCCGATCCAGTGCGCAGTGTTCGTTGCCGGTTCCCGGGGTCCGGCAGGAGCCCCCTCGGGGGGCGAAACTGCCAAAAATCCTCCGTGATGTGCTCTGCACGACGCAGGCGGGGTGGTGGACCGCCAGAGGGAAGAATTGGTACGGTAGTTTTGCGCCGCGTTGACGCGGCGGCGACGCCAGCGCGGGCGTTCAAGGTGAAACGCCGCCAGTGGCCCAGAATCGGCGGATGTCGAGCGATCTGCTCTATCGGAAAATCGCGATCGTTCAAGGCCAAACAGTCCACGCGACGTAAGAAACCAATGCCCGCGACATCGCAACGCGAACCAGGCGTACGCGGACTGGCGGCCCTGCCGAGGCCGACGTGAACGACGTGAGCCCCCTGGTGGTGCAGGCCACTGCGGCGGCGGCCAGCTGCTTCCTGTGGTCGCTGGACATCGCGGACCGGTTGCGCTTCGTCGAGACACAGGCGTGGCCCCTGCACTCGGAGAAAGATCCATTACATGAGCATAACTCATCGACGGTCCGCGCGGGTTTCCTGGATCGGCGCTGGGCTCCCCTTGCGGCGCCTCTGGCGCCGCCCCTGGTGGGCTCTGCGCAGGGGTGGAGGTCCAGCGCCGGTCCAAGAAACCCGCGCGGATCTCCGAATAGTTAATGTTATATTTGGTTTATTTTAAACTTCTACCCATGCCTTGATATCTTTTGAGGCATTATTCCAAGACCGTGATTCACACACGTCCACCGTCTGGTCGACCGATCTTCCTAGACCTCGGGACGTGTCTATTTATGGATTTAATCGGGATTCTTAGGGTCCGAATCTTCATACCCTTGTCCACTGGCCCCTAGGGTCATGGGAATGAATTGTCAGGCATTGTCTCCCTTGTGGCAGAGGCGGGGTATAGCCACTTTTTATGCACGCAGGATAAATCATCCGACCTGCCTCGCGACTCCCGTCAGAGTGATGTGTGTTGTGTCGGCACTTCTGTGCGCGGCATGGTAGAAGGCCCATGATAAAAGTATTCCAGGATGTACAATCGGCGGGTAGTTGTTTGCGTCGGTGGCACGCGTGCGTGTCATTGCAACGAACCCCAAAGCGTAGAAGATTGAAAGGGACGCGGAAATTGGGAGCAACAACATTGTTTAGTCGAGATTTTACACTACGTTACCAGCACACAGGGCATGCGCGATTTGCGGAGCTCATGATTCGACAGGCTCGGGATTGGCGACGTGAAGCATGTGTGCCTGCATGATCCCGTCTGGAGCCACGTGCAGAACTTTGTTATGATACGGGAGACGCGTCGCATCTAAGCCAATCAAACAAAACTTGCGAGGAAATCACTGCGCTCAGCTTCACATTGTCCCCTCTTCAGTTCGCACGCTTGCAAGAGCGAAGGCGTGTCGATAGTCGCGTTACCGCGCGCAATTCGCCTCGTCACCCGACGTCTCGTATTCATTACTTGAACAATTGCTGTCTAGATGGACGGGGGCGTGCCGCAATCCTCGACATGCTCACGTAGCCTCAAGCGAGAGCGCACAGGGAAGAGTGGGGAGGACGGGCGTCAGTGGGAGTGCAGGTGGAGCCTGGAGGTCGGGGCAGCAAAGGTGCAGTGCAGGAGGATTGGGGGGGGGGAGGGTCACAGGAGGACGACGTCACAGGCATCCAGCGCCTCGAGCAGAATTTTGGGTCGCCCGTCCTGTGCGGCCCTTCATGGCCTCCGGAGGCCGGCTGGGAGGCCTCGGGGGCGTCAGGAGACGACTCGGAGCGAATGCCAGTCCTGGGGACGGGGCCGAGCATCAGGGGCACCGCAAGGGGTTCTCCCCAACGGATGTTCTGGCCAAGGTCACGCGTGCTGGCTCGCCTACTGCAGGTTGACCAGCAGGTGAGACGATTCCGGGTTTGCCTGGTGCACGTGGTCGGGCACGAGAGGTGTTTTTGCGAGAAAACTCTCCAACGGTTACTCCATGTTCATGACCCCCAGGGGTGCGAAGATAGTCGCATTTCGCGGTCTGGATCAGACCGGTTGCCGTTCTTCAAGGGGGCAGCGCTTGAGAGCGACGTCGTGAAGATGACCGCGCGTCGGGCATCGCGGGGCGCGATGCGCGAAGTTCGGTGACCCATGTTCTTTGAGAGATTCGCTGAGAGTTGTCAGTTCAGGACCTCTTCCGGCCAGTGTAGCGTTGCCCACATCAGCCAGGGGCAGGTTGGCCGGGCCGCTGGCCACAGGCCCGAATGCCCGTTGGTGGATCCCCCGCCATGGGGGCACCGAGAGCACCTGTCGAGCAAAGCCGAAGCGCCCGATGTCTGGGAGGACGACGACCTTACGACCACCGATGTCCTCCGAGCGGGCCCTCGGGGCTGGAAGGCGTCGGAAGGAGGCCAGGTGGTGTGGCCTCGCGCCCACGTCTCTCGAGCCCAGCAGCGGGCCAGCGCGCCTGTCGGACACCTTCCGGGTGCTGCAATTAGCCCTGCGGGGCGATTGGGCCCGCAGCGCCCCCCCTCTGTCGGGCCGGGCGAAAGGGGGGGATTGGGAAAGGGGGGGTTATGAAATTTGCTGCATGCAGCTGGTTTCGGCCTCACCGAGGGGCCCATTCCTCGATACATAGCCGCTTCCGGCGCCGGGAGGCGCGGGGAAAATCAGCTACGTGAGCTGATTCTCAACCCCCCCCTTTGCCATTCCCCCCTTTCGCCCGACCCGACTCTGGGCCCATTTCAATCCGATCGATCTGAGTCGGTCCGATTTTCGATATCGGTTCCGTCTGGCCCGATCTGATTCGATTCCGATCGTCCGACGAACCGATGCGGCCCGATGCTCATTCATTTCATCTCCGAAAGCGGGCCAACCAGCCCACCCCACTCGGGAGAGTGCGGAGTCGCCATCGGGGGCCCATCGCCGATCCATCGGCGAGATATCGGCGATTCCAGGTCGATGGTTCTCCATCTTAGGAGAACGAAGAATGACATAAACATAAAAACTCTGAGGTCCGCGCGGATTTCTCGTATTGGCGCTGGACCCCCTCCCTCGCGCGCGGAGCGCGCCAGGGGCGGCGCTGGAGGCGCCGCCAGGGGGGTCCAGCGCGGATCCGAGAAATCCCCGCGGACCTCCGAGTTTTTATGTTCATGTCATTCTTCGTTCCCCTGTCTCTTCCGCCAGTGCCCTGGCAGTTCTCGGGCCAACTCGGGTCTCGGGCTGCCGTTTGCTTGGCATCGCTCGGACGTGTGCATGTTTCCCCCAGCGAGGACCATCGAGGAGCATCCTTGATCATTTGGCGAAAAAAAACACGCACGTAACCGAACAAATCACAGGGAATGGACGTCCGAGCGATGGCCAGTTTGGGGGCGGTCCGGGAGTCCCTCTCGGGCGCTCGCGGCGTTGCGCGGCTGCTGGACGGCGTCCCGAGGCTGGAAGCCGCCTGCAGCCGACGAGCGCGTCAGAAGTCAGGAGGGGAGACAACACACAGACACAATGAATCGTCGACTCCCAGGAAAATATGGGAAAATATGGGAAGTGGGGGGAAGACAACAACCCAGAAAATATGGGACAATATGTGGTATCCTTGTATTGCTGTGAAATTGTTTTGTGTGTCCCAGGGCCCCTTCACAGAAGTCTGGAGGGGAAAATCACACATGCACAATGAATCGTCGGTCCCAGAGAAAAAACATGGGAAGTGCGGGGGAAGACAGAAACCCCAAAAAGATTTGGAAATATGGGGAATGGTTTTATGTTGTGTGCATTTCTTTGTGTGTCTCAGGGCCCCTGCAGTGACCTGAGCGTCCCCCCCTGAGCTGGTCCCCTCCCAACGTTGCCCCTCACCCAGGGCCCGCTTTCCCTATGCGGAAGAGCGTGGAGGCCTCGCGCGGCGCGCAATTGATGCTTGTATCATCCAGCCCGCACGTCCGCTCCGTAAGACATGTCGGCAACGCGCAGAGGGGGGTAGGGGGAAGGGGGAAGGCTTCTTAGAAGCGCCCCTGCTTCTTAGAAGGCGCGGGCCTTCTCTATAGACGTAAGGCCGAGGCCTTCGCAGGGTGCTTCTAAGAAAGCTTCCCCCTCCCCCTACCCCCTTTTGCGCGCCGCCAAACATGGGTCGACGGGCCAACATTCGCGCGGTGATGCTCTGATGGAAGTCTGGCGTGAAATTGGCGTGAACCACGCGTGAGTCCAGCGTGTACCAGGCGTGATCCGGCACGGGCCCGACGTGCATCGACGTGGAGCCGAGGCAGTTTGGGTCTCAAGTTTCCGCGGGAGGCCTCCAGGATTTCCTCATGACCTTTCGACCCGAAGTTGCTTTTCCTTGCGCTTCCAGCGCGGCTGGCGGCCTCTCTGCGGGCCAGCAGAAGGCGACGGACCGACCGCCCCGATGCTGTCCGAAGCGGTCGATGTCCAGGACGGGGAGCGGCCCACGACGATGACGTACCCTGAGATCCGGGCGTTGCAATATTCTTGACAGCGTGTCGCTAGTGGATCTTACTGGTGTCTGCTATAGCCATGCAGGACCCCAGGTAAGAGTACCCGTTTAGTGGCAGGGCTCCGGAGCCCCTGAATTGGCCAGAATCACTAAGCCAGGTCTGCCGTAGCTGGTGCTGGTGTTTTTTCGGGTGGCGGCAGTTCTGGTCAGTGGAGCGGGGCGGGGAGGGCGTCCCCCAGTGCACACCACTAAACCAGGTCCCACTAAACCCGGTTCTGTCAACGCCCGACAATGGGTCGTGGTCGTTTGGCGGGCACTGTGGCCGGCATGTGGGCGAGAGCACGGTTGCTCAATCATTGCGTGAGAAAGTCTAAGTCGAAATCGCCTCTGGACCTTTTCGGTCCATGTGGTCTAGGGCCCACTAAACCCGGTTCTGCCTAGGGAGCCAGATGCGAACCCTACCCCTACCCCCCCCGATTTCTGAGGGGGAGGGTGGGGTTCACTTCGTTCGGGAGCTCCCGAGCGAAGTGAACCCGAGCGACGGCAGGCTACATGTTTGGTCCGGACGGCCTCGAGCCCTTGCAAAACAGACGCTGCGGTACACATGGGCCGTGCTCCTTTTCCGATTTCCTTTTCCACACCTGCTGCTATGCTGTGCTTTCCCGGGATCATCTTTTGCACCGGGCGCTTTCGCCCAGCTTCGGGCCAGGGGACCCTCGCAGGTCGATCCGGCCGGAAACAATATCCGCACAGAGGTGGGGGGGCTTCGGTGGCGATTTCTCACGATGCTGCACTCTTCCCGTCGGGTCGGATCGCAGGGAAGAGTGGCGATCGGCGACGACAGTGGCAGAGCTCGACGATCGACGACGGCGGAGATCGACGATGGACGGGCTCTCCAATCTTTTCGGGGCGGGCGATGTCGGCGGCAAGGGCACAGACCGGGCAGCGCGTCGCCCCTCCAGGGCGCGAAGTCCACCGACGTGATGTCTGCCGAGACGTACGCCCTGCTCGGGGTGGCCAGCAGCTCCCCTCTACTATCCCTCGGCGTTGCGCCCGTGGGGGAAGTGACAAGGAGCAGGCCCTCTCAGAAGGGGGCGGGACTTCTCAAAAGCCCTCGCGCCCTCTGATGAGGTTTCAGTGTCTTCGTGGAAGGCTTCGAAAACTTCGCAGGAGGCCGGAGGCCTTCTGAGCCTTTGAGGAGGCCCGCCTCCTCTCTTTTCCCCCCAGGGTCGCCGCCGAATCTCTGCTGCTTTCCGAGCCCGGGGCGCAAGAGGGTGCATCGAAGAAGGGTGCGAAGGAGCACAAGGACAAGCAGCACAAATCAGAATAGTAACAGGAACGGTACGCATCGAAGAATAATGATAAGAAGCTCTCAAAACGGTACGAATAAGAATACTCAAAAGACCGACACAAACATGTTCGGATGTCCGCGCGGATTTTTTTGATCGGCGTTGGACCTCCCCTGGCGGTGCCTGGGGCACCGCCCCTGACGCGCTGCGCGCGCCGAGGATCGGGGTCCACCGCCGATTCAAGGGATCGGCGCGGACCTCCGAGAGTTTCTGTCTGTGCAGGGGTGTCTTCTTCTACAGCGAAGGCGCCGAACTCAGCGGCGGGTTGGGCTCGGATGGGGCCCGCCGTTCCTGCGGGTCCTCGTGTGGCCCGTTCCTCCAGGGGCTCCAGCGCTTGCGCCCCCAGGCGCCCTTTGGGCCAGAGCGGACCTTGGCTACTTCTGTGTTGCGCTCTTCGTTGCGTTCCTCTTGGAAGCAGCTTGCCTATAGCACTGCGCGAGCCAGGTTTTCTGTTTGTTGATATCGTGGACGGTTTTCGGCTTGATCCCGTTACACAGCAGCGGCATCACGAAGACATGCGATAGACAGCAACAACACGACGAGATCGAAAAGCACGTTTTCGCTCGAGCCCTGCTTCGTTCCTGATCTTGCGCTTCTTGTTGACGCAACTTGACCTCAGTATCGCGCCATGATGCTGCTCGGGTCTGTTCGGTCGCTTCGACTGCTGTTCAGTCGACTGCCTTCGCTCGGTTGCTGCACCGCTGCGTCCTTCCAGGCTGCTCTCGGCCTTTCGGTTTCGGTCGGCCTAAGCTTTGTCTCGGTTTGGGGCGGTTTGGGGTTTTGCCTTTCGCCGTGGACGCAGGTGGAGGGGGCGGGGCAGGATGGCGCGTTAGGATATTGTGCGTCGCCGCTGAAGCCACGCAGCCTTCTCATCCTGCTGCGGCTGCTGCTCCACTGCCAGCGTGCAGGGCGGTGCGCGACAGTTCCACTCCCGTACGCCAGCCTGCGACGCCCGAAAGTCTTGGACTTCAAGCTGCAAGTCGTGGTCGTCTCGCTCCGTCGCCGTCCCACGCTTTCGTCCTCCTCCGTTGCCAATCTGAAAGATGAAGAATCTGCATCATCATACGCTTTCTTGGACCTGCGTCGGGCCTCCAGGCGGCGCCTCCGGCGCTGTCTGTGCAGTTGTTAATCCTCTACAGCTGTCGCGAAGACAATTGCTGGCACGAGTCACATAGACAACAGCTGTCACGAGGGCTAAGAACATCCCCAGCTTTGGACGTGTACCCTGATGTTCTTCGTGTGGGTATCTCCATCAGGCATGGGGCCTTCGGCGAGTGGGCTCATGTCCTGAGCCACCGTATTTGTGACGATGCTTCGACTGCGTTCGCCTCCCCCTCCCGTCGGAGGGGAGGCTTCTACCTGACTGTCGGCACAGCGGGTGCGTACGTGCACGCGCCGCGCGAGCGCGTGCCTCTCGTATTCTGGTCGCTTACTTTTGAGACGCCCTTGTTCTGGGGCTTCTTCGTTCAAGGACGCTCGCTTTGTGACACACGGTCAAGACGCTGAACATAGGAGCATATTGGGTTCGGAAGCCGCTCGATGCTCAAGAGGTCCTTCCATGGCTGTTCCTCCAGCCCTCCTCGTGCACCCAGGCGTTTTGAGGGGGCCAAAGAGGGTCTCCGTTCCTTATTTGTCGTGCCTTCTTTCAACAGCCCGACTGTAAACATACACTTTCTGAAATCCGCGTTCATTTCTTGTATCGGCGCTGGCCGGTGGGGGAAGTGGGGAAGGCTTCTTGGAAAGAAGGCTGCTTCTTGGAAGGCGCCCGCCCTAAATCTGTAGACAGGGCCGGCGCCTTCCAAGAAGCAGCCTTCTGTCTAAGAAGCTTGACCCCCTCCCCCCACCCCCCTCTGCGCGCCGCCAAGTCTCTTTCTCGCACAGATTTAAGTCGGGCCTGTCCCTCTACAGGGGGGATATTCAAAAATAGTAAAAATTAGTTGGGGCCTTGTTGTTGTTGTTGTTGTTGTTGTTGTTGTTGTTGTTGTTGTTGTTGTTGTTGTTGTTGTATTGTTTGGCATCTTTTGAGTAGTTCTTGAGTCATGCTAATTTTTTGCCCAAGATCCCCCTGTGGGGGGACAGGCCCGACCTAAGCCCAGATGCTTCCTGCGCGGGCCATCTGCCCTCGGCCGCCGGCCCCTCTCTCGCCCTGCCTGCTTCTTGGGCTGCTCGGCCCCCCCCTCCCCCTCGCCAGCCGGGCCCGCTCCCACCGCGCCGAGGTGGAGAAGGGCTCCACGCGCAACCTGGAGGAGTTCGGGAGGGAGAAGTCGACACACACAGTCGAAGAACAGCAGACGGCATGAACATAGACTTTCGGAGTTCCGCGTGGATTTGTTGAATTGGCGCTGGTCCCCCCCCTGGCGGCGCCTCCTGCGCCGCCCCTGGCGCGCTCCGCGCGCCAGGGAGGGGGTTTCGGCGCAGAGCCAAGAAACCCGCGCGGATCGTCAACAGTATATGTTTACGCGGTTTTTCCTTTACGCAAGTCGAGTCTGATCGTCATAAGAGAATGCGGAATGCAGGAACTGGCTGGGAACAGGAGCATCCAAGAAATAATTATGAAAACGCATTCATCAGGAAAACCATCCCGACACCGATAATTGGCGTTCACTCAACGGCCCTGGGCGTTTACGGAAGAGCCCTGCCCTGTTCGATTTATTCCTTGGGCACGCTTGCTAAACGGCTTCGCATGTCGGGGTGCTTACTGTGGGGGTGGCTGTTCTGCTCTCTACGCAATCCTGGGGACCCCCGCGTTTTGTGCTGTTTCACTTGTGTCCCCCTGGACCGGTGGAGGCCAGCCGGCTGCTCCCGCAGCGCCCGCAGTCACAGGGCGCCAGCTCCCCGAGAGCTGGGCGCGACGCAGCAGTGCTTCCTTCCCCCCGGGCGTCTTCGCCCGGCTTCGGTCGCCTGGGGCCCTCGCACATCGAGCCGGCTCGAAAAATTACGCAGACAGAACTTTGGGGCCCCAGCGATCTGACGTTCCCCAAACATCGGGGCGGGCTGATGTTGGCAGTTTGCCGTCTCAGGGGGCCCTCGCCGGGCCTCGTGAGCGTCAAGAAGCAATGGAGGACGCAACATCGGCCCCAGGATGCAAATCGGCCGAAATCAACCGCCAATTTCTTAAACGAATCATTCCTGATCGATGGTACGGCGCATGGAAAGATACAGGAGCCGATTGCGACAACAAGCTCGATTATCCTGCTGCCCCAAAGAATTATGACGCCAAATCGCTCATGGCCCGACATCGCATGCCTTCGACGTCAGACGTACCTCTTGTTCTACAGTGTCTGTCTTCCGTCAATGAATGCTAAAGCTTGGGTGGGCGACGTCAAGTCGGCCGTCACTCAGAGACTCCGAAATCAGCGGGAAGAACTTCTTCTTGCATTACCCCTGGCGGGCGGCATTACTGGCGAGGACCCAGGCGAATTGTTGGTAATTAAACTACGGACAGGAGTTCATCGATTTGTTACCGGCCATCCAGGCTGGCGCAGAAGTCGTCTGACTGCCTTCAAGGAGTGGCTTCGCTCGCCGTCTCCGGCAGCCCGTGTCATGCTTATGTGCGAGACTCTTGGCGGACGCCCCGAACAATTTCCGGGTCTCGCTGGTATCGAAACGTATGATTTGTTCGGAGACGGCGTTGGAGATAGATTTGTCGATGCCATTTCTCGCCTTCGGGAGCGGTTCACTTTCGGAAAATGGACTGAGCTCATGGAGGGCGTTACTGAGTACGTCGGCCGCACTTTGCGGCAACGCATAAATTTCTACTTTGCATGTTTTCATGGCGCTGTGCCTCGGAGGACGAGCTCGACCTATCAGTCTCCCACAGGGGCGCCGCAAGAATCCACTCAATTCGACATGCCGAAAAGTCATGCCCAACGGCTCGGGGAATGCATCTCTCCTGCGCAGCACTCTGCATTTCCAAGGTGAAAAACACTATACAGGTAAATGCTGCACTGCGGCGCCTCAAGACGCCACTATCGCCATCAAATACATGCCATTTCTCGTGTTCGTATGGTCGCCCTGTGCGATTGCGGACTAGACCTCGAGGTTGCGGGGCGAAGTCGCTTTCAGACAGGCACCATGATCCGCGCCGCGGACAGATCCTTTGGCGGGAAAGGAAGCTGATGCCGGTATTTCTGACTTGGCATACCCACAAAAAACTGGGCGTGCTGGGGGCTCTACTTTGGCGGTGGATGGCAATGCCATGTCCGAGGGTTTGGCAGAGGCCGAGTGGGTTACCTCGTGGCTTCTTACCTTGAAAGGTTATCGATGCGAGCTCCGAGATCGACACACTATGCACCGAGAAGTCCGAGCGACGACAATCATGGAGCAAACTCCCGACCTGGACATTATCACCATGACCGAAGCGAAATTCGTGTGCGACTGTATCAATCGGGAACAGTTCAAATCGACCGAGGAGCGAGCTGCCTTAGAGATAGCACTGATTCGGGGTTCCTTCGAGAAACTCGGCGGTCAGTATGCGTTAATTGCCGCGCGAACTTAACCCTGCAGAGTGTTTGACGCAGTTTGAAGAAAGCGCGCGACCCCCCTACAACTAATGCAGACGGCGGAAATACGAACGATTGGGACAAGGAGGAGATGAAAATCATAACAGCACATAGTTTTGCTACCGGTACACTCCATCCGAGGCCGAACATGTCGAATCATATTCTTCCGCCGAATGCGACCTCCTCTCGAGCGTCTCCGAAACGTTCCACCCCTTCTTCCCGACCTGTATCCGACCCATATCTTTCGATGTGTCATATTATGGATTGTTTTCGTCGCGCAGTGGATGTGTCAGCTTGTTGTCACATGTGCCGCCGTTTACAGCTTGCGATTGTAGTGGCCTTCGGCCCGTGCCGCTGATCTGGGTAGCTCGGGGCGCCTCCCAGACTGGGCGGCGACGCGTCGCCGACAGACGCGCGCGCACGCTCGCAGACATCGCGCGCGCACGCGCGCGCGCACGCACGCACGCGCGCGCGCACAACGCACACCCACAGGCGCACGCGCGCACCACATTCACACACGCGCGCCACCTTCGCATGCACATGCACATGCACACTCCGGCAACGCGCGCACATGCACGCGCCGCGCACTCCGCGCAAACGCACGCGCACGCACATGCGCCGCAACAAAGGAGATTTTGTACCGCCATCTTCGTCTCCCCCCCAGTTGTCTCCCGTTTTCCACTTTTGTCTCGTTCCACTTCTCTCTCCGTCTTTCCCCGATTCCCCTCTCGCGTGCGCGGACAAACGTTGCCCCGCGCGCGCGCGCCCCCCCCCTTCCCCCCCCCCTTTCTTCCCCGGCAGTGCCGCCCCGGCCCCCCCCCAGAGGATGAAGCTCAACCTCGAGGCTGTAGCTGAGGCCCCTTCGAACTCACGCGCCACGGACCCCCTTCCCCGCGCCATCGGAACCCGCGCCACCGGACCCCCCTTCCTCTTCCCCGATTTCCCTCTGTCCGCAGGCGGGGCGGGGGGCCGACCCCCCGCCCGACGCCGCCGGGGCCCGCGCCACTGGGCCCCCATCCTCCTTGCCCCCGCCCCAGCTGAGCCACCCCGGCCACCGCCCCCCCCCCCCCTTCCATCAATTCTCCGCGTCCACAGGCGGAACGGGGGACAGCCCCCCCCCCGCCCCGCGCCGCCGGAACCCGCGCCGCCGGACCCTCTCCCCTACCCCGGCAGAGCCACCCTGGTCACCCCACCCCTCCCCTTTCAAACTCGCGCGCCGGATCTGCGGATTTTTAGTTTTGTGGCCAGGATGTCTCCCACTTTCTGAACCATGCTTCCACGGCCTGGGCCTCTGGTGGTGCATCTACTCGACGCCCGTGCCGTCTCCGGAGGAGAACAGGGTGAGCGGGTCAGTTTCACGGGCGACGCCACGGGCGACATCTTCCACGGCTGCGGGGGCCACGATGACAAGATGGGCGGTGTCGCAGGCGGTTCGGCGGCCCCGTCGGCCGACGACCCCGCGGGCTGCCCCGCGCAGCTCCGCCCCAGCGGCGCCTCCTGAAGATCGCCCCTGCGCGTCTCTTTATCGCGACCTTCAAGCAGGACGAGGAGCAGGCGAGGTGCGCGAGAGCGCCCGGGACTTTCTTCGGAGGACCCTGGAGGAGACTCGCCCCGACTCGGACTCTCAAGATCCCATGGGCGCTGGCGGCGCGAGACCTGCGGATGTCGACGAGGAGCTGCGCGACGATCAGCGCAGGGACACAGACGCGCGCGCCGCACCTCTGGGCCGCCTCGATTCCAGTGGCCGAGGCATCGTCGTCCAAGACGGCGGCGGTAGCGATGTCGTGAATTGCGCTCGCAGGGGGGCCACCGACGCGGGGGCCCTGTCATCCGGGGCCGAGAAGAAGAGAAATGGGGGGGCGGCGGGCTTGGACAAGAAGATCATCGACCGCAGAGACGAGAAGGAGAAGAAGGTCCGCCGCGTGGACGACTTCAACAAGGCCCTCGAGGAGTACGTCAACCGCCTCGAGCCCTCCTGAGGAGGCCCGGGGAGTGGATGCCATCCCACTCGGTGCCAAATATCCATCACCTCAAAGCGCACAGTGCATTCTTCATGGTCACGATTCAGAACCCCGAGCTGGAAGTGCGTCGTTTGGGCCAGGTGCTTCGCAGGACGCGTCGCGCTGACGGTTGGTCACAGTGCCGGCGGCAGCGGATTGTCCAGCTGCAGGGCGCGGGAGACGAGCCTCGAGCGGGAATCCAACAGGTCAAGCTGCGTCGGTGCCTCGACCTGCAGCAGACCATGGTGGCCTTGATCAAGCAGCGCGGCGAGGCGGACGACGGACTCGTCTACGCCCGACGTCAATTCGAGGGGTTGGAGCGCGTGGGCGCCAAGGTGCTCGACCCAGAGACTGCAGGCCCCTCAGACTAAGCTGAGGGGCTGCCGACCTTTCTCCGCGTGTTCGCGGCGCTCTCGGAGATGCTGCGCATCCAGTTTGCCGCAATCCACCAGCTCGCGCAGCCCCCTCTTAATTTCCACACCTGGGCCTCTTAGAGCCGCTACTCCAGGAAGCAGCTCCGGAATCGACCCCAGAGGATGAGGCGCGCCTTGGGCGACAAGAAGAGCCGCCTCAGCATGGCGGCGGACCCGGGGTTTCAGTGGGCGCGCCGAAGGGATTTCATTAACCGACCCAGCAGAGCCTAGGCCGCGCGCCGCGTTCCATGCGGACTCGACAGACGGCCGAGGAGGCCGTCCAAGCAAGCAGGGATAAGCATCGCAGGCGCCGCCAGAATAAGAAGACCAA